GATATGAATATCCTAAAATTTCAGGAGATCGTGTTAATTATGATCCAAACATTAGTTTTTATTAATTTGAAATCTTATGATAGGTAAATGATACATATATATTGTTGTATCATTGTAGAACAGAACTATCTTTTCTTTTCTTTAAACAACAACATTTTTCATTAGCCAGGGGTGGGCCTACAACAATGCAAACTAGAAAAGTTAGATCGAACTCAGGGCTTGTGCATATGTTCTTGCAGTCGGCATTACTCTTACAAGGGCCCTTGTAGTAACATTTAGCTGAAAGAAAAATATTTAAAACAAAAAAGCTCAATTAACTGATTAGATCTAGCATATTCCTTTTTATACAAAGAATTAGAAGAAGAACATCTTACCATTTGATTGAGAACAAAAAAGACAAATAATTAAGAGCAGAGAAACAAGTTGAAACTTTTGTCCTGACATTCTTGTTTTTGCAGTTTTATTTATGAAGATAATTTTTTGTTTTTCTTCTTTGGTTTTATTGCAAATGGTCATCTCTTTTTATACGAGGGCTTCGATTGATATATTCATTTCTAATTTATTTATTTTGTTAAGAAAAGAATATCTACATACCTAAAAAATCAGATTGTAAAAATCTCTACCATATCCCATAAAAATCTTGCATTTATTATAGATCATATTCTCTGCAACAAATGTACAAATTTTAAAATTTAAAATATAATTAGGTGACTACCCGCACTACGTGCGGGTTTATATATTTTACTATTTTTAAAACTATTTTTTATAATATTGGTTTATGTATTATGTTTTATATTAAGAATAATTGAATGTTTTAATTGTATAAAATACAATATACAATTTCTAGTTGCAAAAGAAATCCAGTTATATTGGTGCATTTGAAAAACCAAAGAGTTTGCAGTTCTTTGATTCAAGTTTTGTATGTTATTTTTTTGTATTTTTATATGCTTATAATTTTGAAACGGTAAAAATATAGAAAACATATTGTTGACAGTAAAAGTATAAGATATGACACAATTTCTCTATTAAAAAATTATATGTATTTCTCAAGTCAATATATTTGGATAGCTTAATTTACGTTTTCCTAACACGATGAAATTATATGTAACTCTTTATATTCATAGACACGATGAACCCATACTTATTTCCATATTTTTCTAAGTCGGCGGTAGGAATATTTTTTGAAAAATAATCATATACAACCATGGATGAAGATCGTCTGGAAACAACAAACTCAACCAAAAGAAACACTTTCTACTTATGATTTCCTACGATTACTATGAAATTGGTTATTTTATTTAAAGATTAAGATTTGCCAATCACATGTCTTTGAATTTTTCTTGTGTAGCTACAATATAAGATTTGGGGAAGTAACTTTAAAGTTTCGAAGAGAGAAAGATGAAAAGGAGAGGTTATATTTTGTGAAAATGAAACGTTTAGAAATAGATATTGACTCTTGATTTTTTTTGGATACGTGTCACATAGAAGGAGAAGGTTGTTTTTTCTTTCATATATATGATTTGTTTCATGCCATTTATGACAAACCAAAGATTCCGTCAAACAAAACAATATTACCAAAAACAGACCAACGAAGTATATGACATTTGTCATATTGGCGTTGGATGCAAACTGTCTTTTATTCCTTCTCTTTCCTTGCAGTAATTACGGCCCATTTTGGCGTTGGATGAGGATACTCTACGTCATGACGTGGTTTAGTCGTAAATGCATCTGAGTCGTGGGTCTATGTGGATGAAGAGGTCCACAAATCTGTCCGTTTTGTAGCGTTCCATGTCCTAAAACCACTAACATATGTAAACTCGCATTTTCTACAACAGGAGTCATTTTTTTGTTAAAAATGACACATACATTTGTAAATTGCAATTACGACCCATAAGAAATTTGTTATCAAGAAGACATAAAATTCCGAACAGCTTTCGGTTCCTTCGTCGTCCACTTCTAATGAAGGCTGGATGGCTATACAAGTTCCTTGAGATCATTCAAGAGCTCTCTAAGCTCTTTGGTGAGTTTAATGTAGTTGACTACGTCCCGTCGTGGCTCTTGGATCAACCCGCAAGGAATAAACCGACGGGTCGAGAAATCCCTACGGATTTTTTGAATCCATCATCAACGATCATTCACATTAGAACAAAAGAGAACATAACACTGACGAAGAGACCGCTATGGTTGATCTATCTATGCATGTGGGAAGGTTTCCGATCTAAACTTCTTACCTCATACAAGATTTGACATCTTGACCAAAACAAATAAATTCAATACTTGAAAAAAAAAATTACAATGATAAACCACAAAATTAGTTTCTTCAAAACCGTTTCGTTTAAGAATCTTATCTTTTTCCTAAATTTCAATGTCGTAGAAGGCATTTTTAAAAATTTAATATATCAACAAAATTAATTGATTTTTGTTATATATTAGATTAATCTTGCATTGTGATAGTTTGTTTGTTTTGTGTTTTCATATATGACAACCGCTAAGAAAATTATTTGGGATGCAATACCCAATCTATGATTTGGTCCAATCCGTTCTAAAAATTTGGATATCCAGAATTAACAGACTCAGATCCGGATAACACAATTTACATATCTAAAAATTCTGAAAGTTTAATGGTATCATGTTCTACATTAAAAAAATGAAAATGATCAAAGCATTATATTTTATTAATTTAAAATCTTATTATAGGTAATACATACATATTGATGTATCATTGTAGAACGAAATTATCTTTTCTTTTCTTTATACAACAATATTTTCCATTGTATAATAAAACAGTAGGATCAAAGTCAGGGCTTGTGCATATGTTCTTGCAGTCGGCATTAATTATTCTTACCAGGACCCATGCATGTAGTAACATTTAGCAGCAAACAAAACATTTAAAACAAATTAGTTGAATTAAACATTAGATCTCGCATATTCTTTTTTATATGAAGAACTAGAGGAAGAACATTTTACCATTTGATTGAGAAAAAAAGAAGACATGTAAGTAAGAGCAGAGAAGCAAGCTGAAAATTTTGTCCAGACATTATTGTTTCGTAATTTTTTTTATTGTGAAGATAATTTTTTTTGTTTTTCTTCTTGGTTTTAAAGCAAATGTTCATCTTCTTTTATACTAGTGATTGTCCACACGTTGCATGGAATTTAAAGTTAACATGGTAAAATATGCA